AGGTGTGTTTGCACGAATTTCTACAACATAGCCATGCTGGAAGCAACATAGCAAGAAAAGCTATTCTAGACACTAACCCCATTAAAGTATTTTTTTTGGTTCTTTCCACTAACTGAGGTAAAATATTTCTTTTTGCAGTTATTTCCATGCTCATGTAAAAAAGGGCTCATATAAGCATCAAGCCACGAGAAGGACTGGGGTTTTTATAATCTGTTCCTCATCTCTCCAAAATGTTTGTTGTCATGTGATTTTTCATAGCATATGAAGCTGAAGGAAAGGATATAAGAGCGGATAGGAGTATGCTCCAGTCATTAGGAGGATGCTCTAAGCTGGACAACTATGAGAACATGGAAAAAAATAAAAAAGATCTCCTTTGTCTGTGAAGAGCTGTTGTGAGCAATTAACAAACATTTCTTCCTTTTATTTCATATTAAACTTCATGCACAGGGGACAATGGGGAAGTCAAAGTCTTAAGAATCTCATAGGATTTCTCATTAAACAGAAAACTCTGTCATGACCACAACCAGAGAATGAGAGAAAAAAAAACACCAAACCCATCATGTTAAGTGAAGTGTGTGTGTTTTATTTAGATTTTGGACTCGAGGAAAATAAGGATAACAGTACTCCAGATGACTTGTGCTCTTTGGGGAAAAGGTTTGTGTTAAGTGTTTGGAAGAGCTCTGATGATGAATTGTCTCTGGTGAGGAATGCTACAAGACCAGTGGATTTCGGTCTGTTGGTAGTATGCAGAGTGAGGTGACTTGTCTCTGCTCCCCAAATTCCTGATGGATCTTCCCTGACCTATTCTAAGGACCCATGTGGTGTCACTGCAAAGAAGCCTGCAGTCTCACCTCTATGTTGGTGTGCAAGGGAACACAGGCATTTAGGAATAATAATACAATAAAAGATTTACATATTCTTTCTTCCATCTCACTCCCCCACCCAATTTTTCATTTCATATCACTATCCCCTGTTACCAAAAGGAGTTTATCTATGGTATTTGATAAGGGAGCACTAAACACATTATAGTGCTATTTTAAATGACATCACAACTAACTAGATATTTTAATTGAAGGTAAATAACCAATATTATTGCCTTCTGAATGATAGCAATAGTGGAGAGTAATGGCACCACTGAGGAATCAACTGCTATTTCCCTCATAAACCATAAACTATTCAGAGATTTATAATGCTTTTTTAATGATCAGCCCTTCTCAGTGTTGAGCAGTTCCTCTGAGATCCCGAGTCTTCTGGCTGCCTGCTGAAGTCAACAGGAATGGGCAGCAAGGGGTCTCACTATCACATATCTTTGTGCCCACTAGGATGAAACTTGTCCCATCAGTTATCAGCCTCAAGCAAAAGAAAGCTTGGCATTTTACTGCACTGCTCTGATATAGTGTGCCCCAAGCCCCAAAACAGGGACATTTGCCTCAACCAGTGTTTCATAACCTGCTCAAGGATAAAAATGCATCGTACATTTGTGTGCGTTTCATGCCCTCTTAAGGTAGGTATAGCAAGTAACCTTGTGTAAGAAACCACTTTGATTGCTTGCTTCCCTCTAAATGCGTTCTCTTCATATTCTATCTGTCCTGAGACTATGTGAACTAATAAGGTAATATCCAATGCACCATTTAGTTCACTGGCATCATATCATGCACATACATCTATGGATCGAGAGTGCTGCCAGAGAAAATGTCCAGTGTTCTGCACTTGGAAAGACTATCCCCTTTCCCTGGTGCCATCATCCAGAGACACTGTCAATGCCTCAGCTTATTTTTCCAGCTGGAGTCAACAGCATATTCATGTACTCAGACCTGTGCCGACAAATTCAGCCTACATTACTCATTCTTGTTAAATTCAATGGGATTATCCTCATGACAAAGGGGATACAAGGCTAGCCATTACATTTTCATTTTTTACTAGCTTTACTTTGGTTTTGAATCAAAAACAACTTTTTTAAACTCCAGAGAGCACCTGTGATGTGATCTGAACTCATCAATTCTCTTTTAATGGACCAAACTGGCCCATTCAAGCATTACTGAGGATCTAGTCAGATTAATATTACAAGAGTTGGTTACAATGGAAAAGAATCTTGACTCTGGATGTGGAAAGAGAGCACAAAAAAACCCAGACAAGACAGATGAGCTCCGCCAGCCAGGCAGGAAGGGACCACATGCTTAAAGATGCACAGAATTTACTTTAAAACTCCAAACTTGGTCTAGTGAAAAACAGGAGCATTAATCCATCCTAGTCGTGTCATGAAAAATATTGCTATCAATAGGACAAAAGTACGAACAGAGGCTTTGTCCTTCTCTCTCATGTACATCTTCAGGGATGAAGAGCTTCTCTAATGCCTACCTCCATTGCCAACATTCTGGGATTTCTAACCCATTTCTACAGCAATTTACTTAGCAGCTGGTGCACATCCAATCTAAATTTTGAAAAAGCAGCCGACCCAACCTGCTCCCACTTCAATCAATGACAAAACTCCCATTGACTTCAAGGAGAGCAAAAGGAGACCGGTTGTTAACAGGGAATTGGTGCCTATTGTTCAGCCGAGCATGTCGGACTAGCATGTATCAACTTCATGAGTATCAAAAGGAGTTACTAGAGGAAATCCCCTGAATATTTATGCAGTAGTTGGAGGGGAAGGCTGGTTTTCCCTCTCCCACATATCTCTACTGTGATATGTTAGCTACGTGAACACAGAGGCTTCTTGCAACTTTGACAGTGCTTACAGACCTTCAGATTTCCTTTCATATCCTCTTTAGTGGAAGTAGCCCAGTGGAAAAAGAGGTCAGCAGCACATCATAGTTCTTCACGGGTTTCCAGAAATACTGAGTCATCTTCAAGAGTTAATGTGGTCTCAGTGGATTTGCTATATAGTGCTGGTATAGTGTGTGTGTGAGAGAGAGGGAAGGGGGGAGAGAGAGACGGAGAGATTTGTGTGTGTACAGAAATAATTTGTCCAAATTAGCTCTGGGAGAGTTAAAGGGGAACCAGTTACATACTGGGGTTTCCCAGAGATTTCCAGTGAGGGCAGACAAGCTCCCAGGAGGGATTCAGTGCGATTCAGTACAATTCAGTATAAACAGAACAACCCAGTATTGCAGCGTATCTAATTTCATGCAGATTTTAATTAAATGGGACCAGCAAGACTTCAGCCTGCCTGCTCACCATAATTTAGAAATCTTTTTTTTTTTTTTTTGCTCTGAGACTGCACATCAATTCTGTCCATATTACCAGGACTCGGGGAAGCAGGCAAAGTGTAAGCATAATGTATGTGTTAAGGCCCATATATATTTCCACCGCTTGAGACTCAGAGACTGCAGGGGAGAAGAGTTTCACAGAATAAGAGCAATGACTGCGGCAGAACTGGGATCATCCTGCCCATAGCTAATGGAAGTACATCTTTTCTACACATCAACATAATGTAACACATAAGTGTAGACCTCAGTCTAGATTTACACCTCAAAGATTGACACTATGCGATTGGAGTTTGTGTTGGGGGGAGCCCAACTGCTGTGGATGGCACTGGTAATGTGGGACAAAATAAGGAAAACAAGTACGAGTATTTGTAAGCAGAGCCTCAAAACATATGTTTTTAAAGGGTGAGAGAGGATGAAAGTATGCTTCGTTATACACTTCAGATGATCCAGTCTCAGTGCTCATTCAAGTTCTGGGTTTGACAGCTTCCCACTGTATCCTTTATATATCACCCGTGGTGACTAAGCATTGTGGGGACATGCAATCATTAATCACCATTATGGATTTCTGCCCTTCTGCTGGGTTTCACTTACAAGCTTAGGGGCAGATCCTGCAGCCTTTACTCCTCCCTGCAGTCCTTTGCCCAAGCAATCAGCCCTGCTTCACTCGCAGAGAGCTCGAAGAGCTGCAGCATCTGTAGGATTGGGTGCTGAGTTTCTTACACCGGTGTCCCGTTCAAATATGCAGTGGATCTTAATCCTTAGCAGGAATTAACAGAAAGTCTGAACACTGCATTATTAAATTAAAAGGTTACAGTCTACTAAAAGATGACTTAAGCAAGACTCAGGAGTGTCTGTTAATTTTAATGCTCTGCCTCAAAGTACAGAACTTTGGACATTTCCAGCATCATATTTAAAACATGGTACAACAACTAATACGTGATCTGGTGCATTAATGGACCAAATTAAGTTACAGGTATGAATTTTACATAAAACGGATTAATATTATATGTCATGGAGGAATTTTAAATACTCCATCTCCATGCATTTTTAATAGTTATGTGCTCTAATTTAATGTTCCCAGGCATTGCTTTGCTTGAAGTCCCTAAACCCTTCTCCTTCCCTCTTGCCTCTCCTCTCCCCCTTCAAGTTTTGCTTGGGATTTTCCCTGCGTTTAAATCAGCATCCCGAAGTCCCTCAAAATATGTGGAAAGCCGGGCTGCGTCTCCAGACACTGCAGATAAAACCGCGTTTCACGACCCGAGGAGGCATCACCCCTCCCGCGGGGGGAGGCAGCCGCCATCCTCCGGCCGGGCGGAGGGGAGCAGCGCCGGTTGCGGCCCGGGGAGCAGCGCCAGTTGCGGAGCTACGCACCGGACCGCTGGGGCGGCGCCGAGAGCCGCTGCGCGGTGGATCCCGACCGCATTCCCTCAGTCCTTCCTCCAGGGGACCGCCCCCCTCTTCCTCCTCCGCCACCGCCTCCTCCCCGCGGGGGTCAGCGCCAGCCGCCGCCCCCCCTCCAGCAGCGCCACGGCCCCCCCGGCCTCTCCGCCATTGGCAGGCGCCACGATCCAGGAGGAGATGCGGCGCTCTGATTGGCTGCGGCGCGGCATCGCGGCGCCCCCCCGTTCCCCGCGCAGCGCTCGCCTTGCCCCGCCGCGGCGCCGCCCGCCGCGCCCCGCCCGCACCCCGCGATATATATGGGGCGGCGCGGGCAGCGACGGTGGTAGAGGTGGTTGTGCCGTTGTAGTCGGGCAGCCGCGGAAGGAGCGCTTTTGCCAGCAGCGCGGGCTGTTGACGAGCGGCCCTGCGAGCACTTCTCATAGCATCCTCGTGAAGGGCCGCCGGCAGCGCCAGCAAGGCTGCGTCCGTGACTCGCTCCCGTCGCGTTGCGGGCGGTGCGTGCGCGGCTGCCCGAGGTCGCAGGAGGCGGCAGCGGTGGTGGAGAGGGAGGTCTTCCTCCCTGCGGCATCATGAAAGCTGTGAGTCCCGTCCGACACCCAAGCCGCAAGGCGCAGCCCGGCGTGGCGGGCGGCGGCGGGGGCCACCCGGCCCTGCGGTGCCTGGCCGAGCACAGCGGCTGCAAGGGGAGCCCGCCGTCGGGCGAGGAGCCTGCGGCGCTGTGCCTGCAGTGCGATATGAATGACTGTTACAGCCGGCTGAGGAAGCTGGTGCCCACCATCCCGCCCAACAAGAGGGTCAGCAAAGTGGAGATCCTGCAGCACGTCATCGACTACATCCTCGACCTGCAGCTGGCTCTGGAGACGCACCCGGCGCTGCTTCGGCAGCAGCAGCAGCCACCCGCCCTACACCCGGGTAGCTGTCCCGTGGTCACCCCAAGGACCCCGCTGACAGCCCTCAACACTGACCCGGTAAGAGGTGCGTGCCACGCCAGCCGGCGGTTCGGGATGCTGAGCGGGAGGAGGGCAGCGCAATGGCCCGACGGCCAGCGTCGGCCGCCGTGGGAGCTCCCGGTGATGCCTCGCCGCTGCCGGCCTAGTGGTTATGCCGAGCGGCCGCAGCCCCCGGAGATACGGGGCGGGCGGGCGCAGGATCGCCTCGGCGGTGCACGGCTGGTGCCTGCATCCCCTCGGTGCAGGCAGGCGCCCGCACGGTGTTTACCGTGTAATTACAGCCTCTCGAGGGAGCCGCTGTAATCAGAGTGTTTGCACACACGGGAGCAGACGCGCTGCTCCTGTGCTTCCCAGCCCTCCGCGGAGCGAGTGTCAGCGCGTTTGGGGGCCATGCACATTCAACGACCTCGGTGCAGCGTGCTTTGAGGCGGGGGGAGGACACCGGGGAGCCTTTCCAGTCCGCGGGACCCCTGTGGCAGCCGGGTGGCGCGGGGAGCGGCGTGCCTCGGCACCCCCATGTTCCGGTGCTTCCCCCACGGCCCTTTCGCTCTGCGCTCCCGAGCTGGTGCCCGGCTGGGCACCTCCCGCAGCCGGGAGCTCCCAGCGGCGCTTCCCGGCGGGAATGTGGCAGTGCCCTAGGCGGGGAAGGGGGATCTGGAGACTGGGGGGGGGGGGGCAATCTCCGTGCCTTTCTCCCCCCTACCCGTTCTAACATGCCGTGTCTCCTTGCTGCGCAGGCTGGCTCTGTTAACAAGCCGGGAGACAGCATCCTCTGCCGCTGACCGCCGCTCCCCAGGTGAGTGCCGGGTGGGCGCGGGGCCGCGGCGGCGGGCGGGGGTGCCAGGCAGCGCACACCGCTTCCCGATGGGAGCCTGCCTAAGGTGTTGGGGGGGAACATGAACCCGCAAGAAATATTTGCAGGAGGCTTTGGGCTTTTAATTAACGGCGTGGTTATTTTATTTTCTTTAATTACCGCGTTTTGTTTCGTTGGCTTTTTGTGGTTTTTTTTTTTTTTTCTTTCCAAACACATACACACCCCCCCGCGCTGTTCTCCCCCGAAGCGCTTCTGGCCGCGGCGCGCAGCTGCGCATCCCTCCGCCTTGGCCCAGCCTGGGAGCTGCGGTTGTTGTTTGACCTGGTTTGTTTTGGGTTGTTGATCAAGCATGTCTTGTGTGTTGTTGGTGGCGCCAGTCGGTCTGGAGCGGAGCGGTTCACACACCCCCTCTATTCATTCCTCTCCCACAGGTGTGCGGCGGCGCCGCCGCGCAGAGGCACCGCGGGGGGCGGGAGGGGGGGGGAGCCCCATCCCCGGCCCGGCCCCGCCGCACCGGAGGAAGGAGCCATCCAACCCCCCGAGCAATTCCCATGCTTCGCCCCGGCAGAGCCTTTTCACCCCTTTGCACGTCCGTAGCACCCCCCCACACACACGCCTCGGTTCCCATCACCCGCCCAGACACACAGCCGTCTCTTCTCTTCGTTTCCCGACCAGATGTAAGCCGTGCGACCGCGGTTGTCGGCCTCGAGCTGGAAAAGTTGCGACTCTGCCCCGGGATAAGAGGACCCGAACCTAAACCAGACTTTAGAAGCGTTGTAATTCGTAAGGGACCGAGCAGCTGAATCTTGAAGCTTTACTAATCTACCAGAGCATTTGTAGATGATATTTGACATCTATTGTTTAAAATAGATGGATTTTATTTGGGGCCCAGGGAACTTTCTTCTCCCTGCAGGAATGTTACATATTGTATAGATAAATGAGTGACATTTCATACTGTGTATATATAGAGATGTTCTATAAGTGTGAGAAAAGTATATGCTTTAATAGACTACTGTAATTATAAAATATTTTTAATTAAATATTTTTTTGTAAATATTATAAAGGTGTGTATGTTTTTTTTAAATCTGTGGGAATATCTCTCTAGAAGACCACAGCTCAAGTATGGAGCTGCTAATATGGAAGTATCTTGAATGTTTAGGGCTTCTTTTTTTGTTTGTCCCCAGATGTCCTTTAAACTCAGAAGTTAACAGCTATAGCTAGTGGTCCTGCATGATTGCATGAGATGTTTAATTGCAAATAAACTTGTTTGGAGTCCATACAAACGTGTTTTCCTCAATCTAGACTTGAAATGTTTGTACGTGTATTATACATTTTGAGACTACACTTTTGTCATTTAGGCACAGGGGTTTTTAGTGCATTCTATAGGAGTAGCAGTAAGATGTAGTGTTTTTATGACAATAGAAAAATTCTTACCTAGTTTTTGCATTATGGGGGCGATGCTTTAGATCTTTAATCAGCTTTTCTTTAAAAAAAATGCTGTTGCATCAGATCAAGAAATTTGTGATGGAACTTCATTCAGCACCAAAAGGTTTTATTGCAACCTTGCATTCCTACAGCCTATTAACTGCTTAAAAAGTGAAAACAGTTCTCTGCTTGCAACCAAAGGGCAAACCATTAACAAAACCAGTTGCTGTTTCCTTCGTCCAAAGAGTATTAATACTGAACTGCAGAAAAGCACATGGGCAAAGTCGTTACGATCAGTGATGTAAATTCACCTTAAAATGAACTGAAGTAGACCAAAAATCAGATAACTGCGTCAAGATTATTTTTCTAGTACAAAATGACTTACATTTCACTGCAGCTATGTTACAGTTAAAATCCTGTTTAATCTCTGTGATGTGTAACTACATGTGAACATTAAACTAGATTTACCTGTCTTTAACTGTGATTCTTCAGCTTATTTCTTCAATCCTCTGAATTTGCACACTCTCCGCTTATATTTTGTACATAACCGTTTGATGGGCAAGTTAATTTTACAATGGGCTTTTGTACAGTCAAGTCTTGCAGACTGCAAACTCATGTCCAGGCTCGGTGAAAGATGTTCATCTGTGTGATCAGTAGCCTGCACACTAGTGAAATGAGATTTTCAGAGTGGGAGAATTAAGCAGGATTTAATTGGGTGCTTTGTAAATAGCTAGCCAACTGTGTGTGTAACATGGTCTGTTTGACTAAAAAAAGAGGATTTGTTTCAGATTATACAAGTGTCAAAAGTACTGTAGCCCAAGGGACAACTTCTATTAAGTTAAATATTTATAAGGAAATTAACTACTGGGGTCATTAGCTATTGACTACAGGGATAGTGTCAACAAGATGAACATTCTCTCAATCAAAATAATTGTGTAACGATCAAATCAAAAAGTAGCTAAACATTCGCAAACATAAACCTCCTGTCACTGCAAATTCATTGAAGATAGGGGCATTTCACTGGCTGATCTCTGACTTGAGGGGTGGGGAGTGGGACCCTGCAATGATTTCCCCAGCTCGGATGTTATAATAATAGTAGTTTAATGAACAAAATGCATGTTCTTGAGTCATGGACTTCTCGTCCTGTGTCTCCAGCTAATTCAATGACGGCAAGAATGCTATGAATAGGATTTTTTACTGCAGTTTGGGAATTCTTACATTGTGTTTAAAAAAAGAAAATTGTCCTTTTCCAAAGGAATGGTTTAAATTTGCATTTGTTTTGTTTATCCTATTAATATTTATACTCTCCTCCTTGCTTTAGCTTGTATAGCTTAGCTTATTTTGTATACACTTTTTCAGTGACATTAGTTCTCCATGTCCTCATTTGTTTCCATCCACCGTTGTTGCCAAATTACAGAGTTCTGTTACACAGAAGAGGAAGCAAGCAAAAGGTGGTGTCTTAAAATATGAGACTACCTTGTAGAGTTCCTGCATATCAGAGCTTGTGTATCCTAGGAGAGTTGATAAATCACTGAGCTACTCTTCAAGAGAGTGAACTAAACCCGATTGTTTCAGGTCAGGGCAATCTCCTGTTGAGTTTAGCGGCTTGAGGATTTGGCTTTGCTTTTTTAAAAACTCTTGCAGTGCAAAAAGTTAGGACCTTTAGAAGACGAAATTTTACTAAAAAGAGCCACAAAATTTTTTCTTGTTATATAATATTCTTGACAAATGTCAAAGCCTGTATGTAACCCTGAGAAGAGCTCTTATCGCAGCATAGTAGATGCTGATCTTGATTTACTCCTTATGCTACGTATGAAACTGTAAGCAAGGGGTATCCTAATGGCTGGAATCAGTACAGTACTAAATGCAGCTGTACTTGTTTTTGGTTTTCAAAGATTTGAGAATCATCATATTTTAATGCCATATCTTGTTTAAATCATGTTCTCCATATAGTAAAAGCCGTATGTGTTTGAACAAAAGCAAATTAAAAGGTCTGTTTCTTCTAATGCCTTGGATTTTCTCTTAGTCACAAAAGCATTCCTTAAAAGGAGCTTTTTGATTGCGTGATGAGAGTTGTGGTGAGGCTGCCAGATTAGGAATTAGGATACCAAATTCTGTTCCCAGCTCTGCTACTGAGGCTCTTTTGTGACCTTGAGCAAGTCACCGGCTGTCAAACTCCCCGTATTCCACCTGTAATGTACTGGTGGCAACACGTACTCATCTTCATAGAAGCAGGCAGACGAAATAGGCAAAATGCATTAATGTGTTTTACTTCACCTAAGTTTTGGAATTAAGTTTTGGATGAGAAAGGAAGCACAGGGAAAGCTGGGAAGCTTAGGAAGCCTTCCTAAGGAGGAGCCGATTGGGAAATATATTGCTAGCAGAGGCTGCGAGGAACCAGTTGCTTGGGACACTAAACTGTAAGGACTAGAAAATGCTCTCAAGGAGGAATAGGTGAGGGATCTAGGTCATTTCCATCCCTAACTTGTATGCTATCTGCAGAGCACAGTGATGGATACTGCTGAGTGTCCATTTTGATGAGCTGCAGGGCAGAGGTCCCAGCCCTTGCAGACATTGAGAGTCCCCTCTTGAAATGTCCAAATGACAGGAGATTTTCATTCCGTATAAAAGCGAAATGCCAGCTCTTGCAGTGATAGCTACATTTCCCCTGCTGTTTCACATGGGAATGGTATTTATTTTCACTTTCTAAAGCATGTAGTGCTCCTTTTAAGCAGTTGTTGCATTTTCAGCCACAAGTGAAGCGGTCAGAGGGAATACCATAGCTGTCCTGCTGGTTGTTCTGAGAGTTAATGAATAAACCATGTATAGGATAAACAGGTTTATGCAAATGCAGAGCAGCACTTTACAATTATTTGTACTTTCCATGCTTTTGTAGCTGTAGAAGTCACATTTTTGTAAAACCTTTGCAGTTGAAAGAAGAAACCACGGTGCAAGCAATTCAAGTAATTGTTTTAGACGCAACGCAATTTACTGGCTTCTCCAATAGTAAGGCTTGCAATACTGAATAGTGTGCTTCCAAAACAGTACTGAAAATGTTTTGTGCTCCAGGTCCAGAACATGTGATCTGAAAACACAGGCTAAATATATTCCACCCGTACAACTGCTTGCTCTCTTGCATTAGAAAATCCATCCTTTATTCTTATTTCTGTCTCAGAGAACTTGCATGCTGTGTCTACCAGGAGATCCTGCTTTCCCAAATGCCTGAGGCAGGCACTTGGAGCACACCTGAGCTCAGATGGGGACCGAGCCCCCCCAGGGCTGTGCAGCACTGGAGCTCGGCTGCCGGCCAGGCCACTACTGTTGAGCCGGGTAGGTCTGATCTCTCAGCCACCAAATCCTGGCTATGCCTTCTTGACAAAAACCCTTTTCCCCTTCATGGCTTGGAAAAAAAGATTTGTAGGGTCCAGGCTATAGCGTAGGCTGTGGTCTGATCCGCAACATGGACTTGAGGTGGGGTTTTCTAAGTTGACATTCCTTCTCTTCAGCAAAACATCAGCCAGAAAAGAGCTGTGTCACCTACAGTGCGCTGGGGATGGAGCGGTGCAAACCCTGCTGAATGCTGTGGTCAGTATTCAACAGATGATGGTGAGAGATGGGCCCAGCTGACAGGCACACGATGACTGTGCAAAAGCAATGTTCTCCCCCCACCCCGATTTTACCCCTCTTAAAGGTATGAAAGGGGAGGCAAGGCCATTTGCAACTAATGCTTGGCTGTGCTGAGGCAGTTGAGGACCTGTAAGAATAGCCATAAAAATCATCTCCCTGTACACCATGGCAAAACCAGTGCCAGCTGTGGTACCAGCTGTCCCACACCAGGCTCAGAGGGACATGGGTGGGGAAAGCAGAGCAGCTTCTCTCAAAGTAGAGGACACAGCGGCGGCTGGAACAAATTAGTCCCCATTTGTCATTTCTTGGCCTGTAGGGAGAAGCGCCCAAGACTTTGGCACACAGAGACACGAGCAGCCCCTCTGCAAGAGCCCTGGGCATGCAGCACATGAAGCGCAATGGCAGTGCTGAGCGGGACATGGGGCTGCATGAGCAGCTCGGACTTTTCTTCCTTTGATGGGCATGGAACACGCTTTGACATGGCACAAGGGTTGTTTTTTATTTTCTCTCCCACCCTTTTTTAGTTTTCCTTTTCTGTTTTAACCTTCATTTAGCCTTGGATTTGCTTTCCTTTTTTTTTTTTTCCTTTTTTTTTTTTTTGCCTTTCCCCCACAAAGATAATGTGTTTATCCACTGACAGGATACACTCATTTCTGGTGAAAGAAGCACTTCGACAATTTTCACAACATGTATAATTTACTTAAGGACCATAATGGCTTCTTCTGAGCCTTGTGTCATGTAAATAAATATTCCAACGATTTTTAACATGCATATTATGTACTCCATAGATCAATGGCTCCTTTGAAGCTGTTACAGTTTATCCTGTAAGTTGCTATTCAGACATTTTTTAATATGTATTATTTATTCATCAGGCTATCTCTTCATTCAGAGATGCCAATGTCTATATTTGTAGCAGTCTAACATCTATATCTTGTTTAGAATATTTCAAAATTAATATTGCCCAGCCTGTTAGAATATTTCAAAATTAATATTGCTCAGCCTTTTCAGCAGGCTGGAAAGATCCCTGTGAAAATGTGGAAACAGGAAAGGATAGTTCAAACAAAAGAAACTGTAACACACATCCATTTTGGATCAGGTTTTTAAAACTCTTTCCTCTGCTCCTCTCTACCTTCTCCACCAGCCCTGGAAATACACAGGGCCAGGAACAGGTTATGTGTATGGGCCGCATGTAATTAATGCGTGTTACGTGTGCATGTAATGAATCCTCAGCAGGGTTTGGGAGGGCAACAGTGCCTGGCCTCAGAGGGGCAGGAGGACAGGGTGCCATGGGCCACGTGTTTCCCTTTGACTTCTGCTGTGTCTGTCCAATGACTGCAGAACCATCACAGCAGTGGGGGAGCAACAGTGCAAAATGATGTTGCCTTCTCCAGCTTTTTTAATGAGGAAGCAGTTTCACGGTCTGTCTGGTGGACAGGCTCACCAGGTGAGTCGGAGCTAACACACCAGCACTGGCTTGTGAGCTGCCCCAGGGCTTCAAGTGCCAGTAGGGCCTTTTCAAGGTTCGGGTTTTTTTGGGGGTGCAGCTCTGGGGTTTCCATGCTGAGCAGCGAGCACAGCCAGGAGCAAGTGTGGAGATGGAGGGTACATGGAAGTGAAGGCATGCACACAGGTTAATAGCTAATTTGCTATTAGGGGCAAATCCTTTTCCGTTTCCAAAGCATGGGGGAGCAGGCAGAAGCTACATCCTGGCCTCAGTAGAAAGCTGCAAGGGGAACACGGTGAGCTTCCAGGCCTTTGCAAGGAATAGCCCATGAGATAAGAGGGCCTGTGACCTCAGCACAGACTAATGAAGGAGGAGAACCTGGGACAAGACAGATAAAGTTCCTATTT